TTGTTAATGGAGGTGAGGGTGTGTGTGACTCCTGTCAGAAATGAGCTGCTGTGAAAAATGAAAATAATGGCCGTCTGATTTATTGCAGCTTGTGTTTTCATAAATTAATTACACCGTTGGTTAATGAAATGTCTTTTTAGAGATAAATGAACTCGTCTTTTTTGTCTTTTGACGAATGTCTTTTTGTCTGAAGCAAGCGGTTGTTTTTTTTAATAAATAACGACAGCTGGGGAAGAGAAAGCTGAACGTGTGTCTCGTGTCGCTGTAGGTGAACATCATCCCGGTGATCGCCAAAGCCGACACCATCAGCAAGAGCGAGCTGCACAAGTTCAAGATCAAAATCATGAGCGAGCTGGTCAGCAACGGCGTCCAGATCTACCAGTTCCCCCTGGACGACGAGACGGTGGCCAAAGTCAACACGACCATGAATGTAAGAACACAGACACACACTCCTCCTGGACTTACCGCTGGAGGTGGAAGGGTTTTTTTTAGAAGTTTTGTGGTTCTGTTTTTATTAGTATTATTTACAGTATTTCCATCGGTGCACAACTGTTTTTATTTTCCCTTCAGTTCAGCTGCAGATTTGAGCATTTCTTTTGTGGCGTCAGCAAGGTTTTAAAAATACAACCTAAACATGCAGACACGCTGTTGTGTGGGTGATTGTGCTGGCGTGAAGAACTGCTGAGGGAGTTGATGGAAAGGGCAGCTGTGACTTAGTCAGTGTATAAATGTGCATGTTCTGTCTAAAACGGATTCAGATTTAGATGCACTCTGGTGGATCCGGCTATGTTTATGTGCAATTTCTTCTCTAATATATGTATTTGTGTTGTTTTTCTAGGGTCATTTGCCATTTGCTGTGGTAGGCAGCACAGAGGAGGTCAGCGTCGGCAATAAGATGGTAAAAGCTCGCCAGTATCCATGGGGTGTAGTCCAAGGTATGAACAATCAGTGTGTTTGTGTTACTTTATTTGTACCCTTGGACAGATTAGGCTTCCATCCTGACTGACGTTTAATAAAGAACACGGACAAGAGACAACAAAGTGCTCAAGGTTCCAAAAATCACTAAAATACCCAAAAATAAAAGAAGATAAATGTTGCTTCAGTGTCGTCTGTAGCAGCGTCGCTATGAAGCTGTTTTCACGCCGGTTTGTTCTGCATTTTGGGACCGTAAACCTCGTTCCAGGAGGAAGCAGCTGAATCTCACAGCGCACAAGGTGTGAAGCGTACATTCAGAGTGAGCCAAAAAACTGGAAGTGCCAGGGACGCTGGGTTATGCTGCAACTCACCACTTCTCAGTCATTTAACAACTTCATTTAGTCAGTTTCTGTTCTTCAAGGACAGATTTCTAAAACATGACGAAAAAATGTGCCGTTTATTCAGACCAGTTTCTTTCTCGTCTCCTCATGTAGAAACGAGCACTTTGGTCTGTGTGACAAGTGTGTAGAAATGCCTGGAAACCCTCCTTTAGCATTCAAAATTAAAAAAACATTCCATTACTTTTTTCAAAACCTCAAATATTTAGAATGTCATATTTAATATAACTACATATTTTTGTACTGATTTGTCCGTTGATGTGTGCGTCAGTGGAGAACGAGAATCACTGCGACTTCGTGAAGCTGAGGGAGATGCTGATCTGTGTCAACATGGAGGACCTGAGAGAGCAGACGCACACTCGTCACTACGAGCTGTACAGACGCTGCAAACTGGAGGAAATGGGATTCAAAGACACCGACCCAGAATGTAAACCTGTCAGGTGAGCCGTCCACTCGCAAACACCGCGACTATCCATCCACGCGCAGAAATATGTGACTGACTTACAGCTGACCCGTGTCCGTACTGTGTGTGGTTGCAGTTTGCAGCAGACTTATGAGGCCAAACGTCAGGAGTTCCTGGTGGAGCTGCAGAAGAGGGAGGATGAGATGAGGCAGATGTTTGTGCAGAGGGTGAAGGAGAAGGAGGCCGAGCTGAAGGACGCCGAGAGAGAAGTAAGCAAACATGCAAACTGTCACATAAATAACTCCTCAGTTCAAGAAAAGCTGCAGCTGTCTGCTCTTTGGCCCTGGGGGGAATTTTTGGCTTACCATGAATTTAATTCCTTCCTGTTGTAGTTTCTTTCGCTGACTAAATGTTGCATCAACTAAAGAAATTCTCGTAGCCGTGCGTTTCCTATTGCAAACATAATTTCTCTCCTTGACAGCAGTAATTTATTAGTATACTCATTATGTTTTTGAATAAATTGAAGCTTTTTTTTATGCTGTTGTTTTGTTTTTGTCTTTTATATTCATGAGTAAATTATATTTACTCGTGTTTCTTGATATTTTTCTTATACTGTGTAATTGAAGTATGAAAAACATTCCTTCCTAATTAAAAATCTACTTTTCTCAAATTTCACATTCGCCCATCAAAGTGCACCTTTCGTTGCGTAACCACGTCGTCGTCTGTGTCCGTTTTCAGCTGCAGGGCCGCTTTGAGCAACTGAAGCGCCTCCATGCAGACGAGAAAGCGGCTCTGGAGGAAAAGAAGCGCATGTTCGAGGACGACCAGAGCTCCTTCAGCAAGAGACGGGCGGCCGCTCAGCTCCTGCAGGCCCAGAGCCTCACCGCCAACGGCAAGAAGGACAAAGACCGCAAGAAGTAAGAAGCCTCTCTGAACACCGATGCCGAAAAAAATCTGAACTTTGCATGTCTGTGGGCAGTGATGGCGAAATCAGATTTGTTTAGTCATCAGTGGCTCGCTGTTGGAGATCATTGCCTCGTGGTTCAATGAAAATCTGATGACCGCTAAGATTTGTTTAATTGGACATTTGAGTTGCCGACAAAGCCACTGGATCGCTGCAAACAGTCGCTTCAGTGTATTTATTTTTTTTTTTTTCTCTCTCTTTCAGTTCTGGCTTCATGTGAACACTCTTGGATCTCCATCACAACCAGTGTAACCAGTGACATTCTAGCCACGTCCTTCCCAGCCCTCTTAGGCCAGTCTCCATCACTAACCAGGAAACCCCACACAGACCAGCAGCAGCAGTGTGTGAGCGCCGGCTTGCTTTTGTGCCAAAGTTTAATGACTGTACCCAAGAATCCTGTGTACACATTTCTCGGTGGTGTTTTTTTAATCTTCTTTCTAGGTTTTTATTCCTCTTTTGTGTAATGATTTTATATTTATCCTCTCGTTTTTATATAAAACCTTTATTTTTTTCCATGTTCCTCCTTTTTAAACTTTTGCCAGTCTAAGGGACTCTTGAGTGGACTGGACCTCTCACAGCCTCACAGATCAGAACAGGTGGACAGGTACAGACAGTGTTGTGTAGTGGACGTGTACACTCATCTTCTATTTGATATGTTTAGTGTATGATAAGAGCACTCGGGATGTTTTAATATGCCAAACGAGACTGTTCACCTCTCATATAATTCTTATCATTCATTCAAGCCCCTTTCAGACTTCATCAGGTGAACTTATTAAAATTAAAGTTACAATCTGTCAACAACAAACCTCAAAAAGTTTTCGTGATGGCTCAAATTGGAATTAAAATGCTAAAAAATGCTAAAAATGCTAAAAAATGCTGGATTAGCGGAGTAGCGCTAAGTTCCTCTTTTTATATTTGGTTTAGAAAGATAATAAAGTGGTTCGATAATCAACTAAATACATCAGATTAATCAACAAAATCAGGTTTCGTTTCATTTTGTTGGCGAGCAAAAGCAGAACCGAAACCGTCTGAACGCCACAACAATCATCGGACCGTCCGCACTTCTGGCTCCTCAGCTTTTATTCATATGTATGAAAATCCAGCACAGTTCTTCAGATACAGGATGGGTTTTTAGCTATAATATAAATCTGTATTTTATCAGTGATTGGCTAATTAATGTATCACAAAATGGGGATTTCCAGGCAAATGAGAAGCAGGGCTGAAAAGGTTCATAACAGAATATCATTTAACTGCTAAATAAGTTTTATAATCCATCACTTTGGCAGCTCTCTGCGTAACATTTAATTATGTTTGAACTGTTGGTCTGAAAGGGGCTGAATCTGTACTCACGTCTGAAGGTTCTCCAGAAGGATCAAGTGCATCATTAACGGTGTAAGCATGGTAACAGGGCATTATACTTCCTTATTTCTTCTTTGATTTCTTTTTGGTGCACCTTCTTGATGCCTTAAAGGTTTAATATGAACATATCACACTGACTCTCCTGTCGTCGTTCCTGAACTCCTCCGGTTCATCCACAGCTTTTCCAGCGGGGCGAGGCTGAGGCTTGGTTTGGGATTAGGTACATGTTACTGCATATATTTATATATATTTTGTTTTACTCGCTCCCTTATTTTTATTTTTTTCCTACTGACACAAACAGTTGACGTTAGCAGCCCTGTCTGTCTGAAAACAGCTGACTCATGGTTTAGACAAAAAAAAAAAATGGAATCATATCAAGTCGGTGTGTTTGTTGAGGGAGCAGAGAGAGAGAGAGGATGCTTCTCTGACTGTATTTTTATTCACTTCTCTCTGTACTGTAAGACGCTACAAGCTGTGAGACGCTGTGTCATCGTCGCGCCGCAGTAAACCAGAACACTGCGGTGCTGGTTTCCAGTCAAGTGTGATTTTTATAAACCAACATTTACTCACAATTACTCACACTTTAGTGCCTTATCTGTGTGAAACGTAGAAACACACTGTCCACCTAATGACAGATCCAGGGAGACGATGCAGGAAGGTTTGCCTCTGACACGTTTGTATTACGCTTGTATTTAAGGAATAAACAGTATTATTTGAGAGCTTTTTTTTCCCTTTCTTTCTAAATAAATCTTTGTATTTTTGTCATGATATGCTGTGTTTTATTTTAATCTCCTGCAGAGAGAGAGAGAGAGCAGGTGTGAGTGAAGTTAAAATGGTCCAAAGAAGGAAAGAGTGTGTTTGTGTGCGCGCTGGTGTCCTGGTTTGGATCTAACTGGGGATTTGACATTTTGCGGAACATGAGGAACCTGGTTGTTCATCTCTGTGTACAGTATCCAGGTTTCTGACCATCTGTTTCCAATCCTATCTGGATCTTTTTTCCCTCAGACGCTGTGTTCTGTACAAAGACAATGTTCAGCAGTTTACTTGCCACAGTGTCGTTCAGCGTTGTGTTTTTTAAACCAGCACACACAGACTGATGAAGTGATCTAAAACTGGCATTCACGTCATGATTCCTCGTTCTTTAATCTGTTCACATGATTTACAGAACATGTACAACATTGGTGAGTTTTTATCTAACAGTCTCCTGCCCACGTTACACTCAGTCTTCTCCCTAGAAAAGAAAAAGTTGTGTGTGAGAAGTCATTTGTTAAAAGGACGACTGGGTTGGTAGGAAAGTAGGAGAAGCTGCTGTGGGGTGTGGATCTAACTCAGCTTTGGCAGCGATGAGGACTGGTTTTATTTAAGGAGATCTGTGGTCTGTCTTCTTCAGTGAAAGTGAGCTTTGGCATTGGGAAAAAGTACAAACTCAAACCTCATGGTCTCCTGTGAAGGCGTCGCTGCCTTCGTGCCAAGGCTGGATTTGGCCTACAGAACTTTTTTATCCAGAGTTTCTAAGCAGGGATGATATCAGAGCAGGTACATGTGGCCTGAAGTAAACAGAAAGCAGGAGAAGTAAAGAGACTGTCATCATATTTAGTTTGACTTCTTATCAGCACTAAATACACTGCTGAGTGATTAGGGTGCATACATGCTCTATACCAGAAAAAAATGTTCTCTTGATGTCCTCAATGAAGATTTATTTTATTTTATCATGTACAGTATTTCCTTCTTAGACTCTAGTATGTGGTGTTGATGATTGTACAGTAGGAAC